GCGGCACTGGTGGTGGAGGAGGCGGAGGCGGCGGCGGCGTCCTAGAAGAATCATCTCCAAACCTGAGGGAGGCTCAGAAGAATGCTCCGGCCGGAGAAGTGTTCGTAACCACTGAAGCAAATCAACAAACAACTTATGTGAGTCATGAAACCAGAGGTATCCACCAGCAGCCGAGCAATGTCAACAACAATTACCCCTCTGCTTCATCAACCCCGAGTTTCTATCAGAATTCAATGAAACCCCCACTTCCAAATCAGGGTATGATTCCGGGAACGGATGGATCTGGTTCAATGGGAGTTGATCTAAAACCACGGATAAGAACAGATGGTGGAAGAGCTTCGAATCTTATTCGGCAAAGTAGTTCGCCTGCTGGACTATTCGACCACATAAATATTAGTGAAAGTGGTATGTAATCTTTTCACCTGGATGAATGAATGTAAATTCTGGTGAAATTGAAGTTGGCTTTCTGTTCTCATAGTTTCTGATTATTTGGGTTGAGAGAAACTTGATTTATACAATTCAGACTTTGTAGGTATAATTATAACCATATTGATTTGCTATGATCTCTGGTCTGTTTGTCATACTAGAATTTAGCTTCCAATATTCCCACATGGTGCTGAAAATTCTTAGCAACTGGCAGGCTATGCTGCATTGAGAGGCAAGGGAAATTTTGGAACTGGTAGTAGCTTTAATGAAGAAGCATCTTTGTCTTCTCCAAGCAGGTTGAAAAACTTCTCACCAAGGACCATACCACCACACTCATCAGGGTTGATGAGTAGTCCCATGGCTGGAATTGAGAAAAGAAGTATCAGAGAAAACAATCCAGATAGTAAAGGCTTTGCCGATAGCCACGCCAGCGATTACGGTAGCACTAGCTACCCAGTTGGTTCTTGGGATGAATCTGCCATGTCTGATAACATTGTTGGTCGTAAAGTGCTCGAAGATAACGATGACGATGAGAAGTCATACTCAAATTTCAATCTTTCAGTCGACACTCAGGTAATTAATTACTTCAAGTCCATTGTGATGGTCCTGCTTGAAACTGGTTCTAGTTGGTCTCATCTTTATTGTTTTGTTGGAAAACTCAGAAAGTGGATCCTGGAAATCGCCCTCCCCTGCTTTCTCATCATCTGAGTATGCCGAATACTTCAGCAGAAATGAATGCTATTGAGAAGATCTTGCAGTTTTCAGATTCTGTCCCTTGTAAACTTCGAGCCAAGCGCGGTTGTGCTACTCACCCCAGAAGCATTGCAGAAAGAGTAAGTCAAGATATTGAACTGAGAATATTGAACAATTAGATATAATCTCTTGGTCTTAACCATTGGCTGTATTTATTCTATTTCTGAAACTGCCTGCAATAGAATAAAAATAGCAACTTGGATTGGGATTCTCTTATCTGTCAAACCTTCTGCTGGATCCAGATGACTCTGATTTTGTATAAAGTTCTGTATTTTGGTTGTTACATTATTGAGAAGTATAGAAGTGGCAAAGTTTTAATCTGCTGAATCTGAACTTACATACATGATTCAAGGAAATTGGAGAGAGTTGCACTAAAACTTCCCATCTTTTAGGAATATCCTTGACTCTTTAGTGTATGAGATTAAACTCTGGATTCTGAACGAAGTCTTTCCCTTCATTGATAACTTTCAGGTTAGACGAACTAAAATCAGTGAACGAATGAGGAAGCTGCAAGAATTAGTACCCAACATGGACAAGGTAACTTCTTTTTCACTTTTTCTTTTATAAAAGTCGGTAAAGCTGAGTTAAAACGTCTCTCTCTCTCTCTCTCTCTCTCTCTCTCTCCCTCTCTCTCCCTCTCTCTCCACAGCAAACCAACACATCAGACATGTTAGATCTGGCAGTTGAGTACATAAAAGGCCTTCAGAAACAGGTTCAGGTAATTATAAATTCATGACCCATTCTCGTATTTGTATGATAAAAGTTACCCCATTTTCGTTTTTTCTTATCTTCTCTTGCTGTTTGTCCAGACGCTTTCAGATAATCGTGCAAAATGTAAGTGCTCGCATAGTCAGCATCAATAATGGGAAAGGCCTTGGCGTGAAAATTCTTATGTACAGAGCCATACAATTTGAATTCCTAGGATAGAACACGAATCTCTCTGAAAATATAACTAATTATTTGCACTAATCAAGAAGAAATAGTGAGTCAGCATGATTTGGCATGAAGAAAGTTTGCAAAATAAAGGGCTGCACAGGACAAGCAGATAGTGAGGTACAGCGATTAGAAATGAAGACAAAGGACTGCTGAAAGCTGGTTGTACATGTGAGTTTAAAGACCCTGCTGGTACTTTCCACCACTGTGTAAATTAAAATAACTATGCATGATTATTAGATCTTCCATTGCATATAATCTGTCACTTTAGAGAGAGAGAGAGAAAGAAATTGACTTGGGTGTAGATCTGGTTAGAAGAATTAAGAAGGGAAGTTGCCATCAATGGCTGGCCCAAGAAATGGCTTAGAAAGAATTGGGGAATAAACTGCCTGATTTGTAATGAAAAAGTTCACAGATAAATGATTGCATTTGCTGCTACATTGCTTACTATTATCATTATGTGCATCGTTTATCTTAATTGCTTTGTTCTTTCTTTTTATGCTCTCTTTATTCAATGGCTTCAGAAAAGTTGGAAGGAAACCGAATCTGAATTTTGCAGATTCTCCAACAAAAAAGAAAACAGAAACAGATATTGTGGAATATATCAGTATCAAAATGCTATTAGTTTTCATCCTTTTATTTCTCTTTCAAATGAGTACTTTATAAGATTAGTGGGTTTCAATTCAGTGTTTTCTTTTATAGAATATTGCCTACATTATAAAGGTTGGTATAGGCTATTTCTTTTTCTTTTTTTTTTCTTCTGTTGCTTTATGGAAAAGGGATATTGTGGCCAAGTTAGTGGGTGAGATCCGATCAGTGATTACAACCACAACTTTTCTTTGGTCCCAAACATTTTCCCATTAGACACAACTGATAAATCTGTCCAATTTAAGACTTTGTTTGTAAAGTTAGGTGGAATGGATGGCTTCCTGGTTGGAGTTTGTGAATTTAATTAATGAAGCTCCAAGGGGGCAAGTTTCAGAAGAAGAATAATAAATGTTGAGGAGCTAAGGTAGAGCAGCTGGTCAGCTTTTCTCCCAAGTGAGAAAAGGCCTAAACCGAGTAGTCTGATATAAGGAGGGATAACTTGAGCAAGCTCAGCTCAAGTATTCAACTTGAGGTATTGCTCCGTCCGGAGAGAAAAGATCTAAACATAGCTCGAGTAGTTTGATATAGAGAGGCTTAGCTCAGATGTCAGATATAGAGAAATGACGTAAGCAAGCTCATGTAGTCACACGTAGGGAGGGACAACTTAATCGAGTTGAAGTGGTCACCCATTAGTACCTTCTCTTATTAATTGTAGGTTCGAATCTGTTGTTTATAAAAATAATATTGTCAAACAAATAATTCATGTTAACATTTCGCAAAAGAAATATTTGTAGAGAGTGGAGAAGGAAAATACTTAGCTATTTACCGGTGGTTGACAATAAAGAGCTTCGACAGGTTGGTATTTATTTTTGATATAGAAGTATTGAGAAATAGTCTGTTTTTGGAGGGTGTTGAGGCTCATTCATTCTATAATTGGGGAGAGAGAAAATGGGTTGGTGTGAGTCACAAAGGAACACAACCATTCCCATCTGAATGGAGCCTTTTTAGTCAAATTGCTCATTAACTATATGTGGTGTTGTTTTGCTCTTCATTATCTCTGTATTCATATTGGATGTTACTAGATTTTTTATGAGGCCAGCTCTGTTTCCTTATATTTGGTATTGAAATGTACTGAGACACACTTTTTTTTTTCTTTTTGGAAGTTACAAGGTAAGTAACTGTCCTTGTATATAGTTTCTATAAAGGGGCATCTCCACATTTTTTCTCTTAGAGAACATTCCACGAGGTTCATTTTATTAAATGTAAAGTAAGGAGAACATATTTGAAGAGCATGAGTTTCATGTGTTTTTTTTTTAATCAATTTTGAGCATAATTGTCACTCTTTGGAGGTTAATGGTAAAAGACAAGGTATTTATTACTATTGCAGAGATTAATTTGAATTGTCACTCTTTGTCAAAGTGAGTATAGATAATTGACATATATCTCCAACCAAGAGATCGTGAGTTTGGTCCCCCGTCCTCACATATTGTACGCGAAAAAAAAAATTTGTCACTCGTGCAAGAGTTAAAGTTCAAATAATAATAATAAATCTAATGTTTTTTTCTTAGCTCAAACGAGGGTGGGGTAATAGGGGTGTTCAAAAAACCCGCCAACATGAGTAAGGGTTTGGTTGGGTTGGGTTGGGTTGGGTCTCGAGTTCAACATTTAAAAAATCGGGTCAACCCAACCCAACTCAAATTTATGCATATATGTATGTTTTTTATAATATATTATATTCAATGTCAACTGTCCATTTAGTTTTAGTCATACTCCTTTATTTAAGAGTTTTATATCATCTTCTCCCATTTTGTATTTTAATCTCATCTGTCCATTTAGTTTAATCCTAACTCCCCGTCGCCAAGATAATTAAAAATTAAAAAAAACCCCCCGAAAATATTGGGTTGGGTTGACCATCCAATTGAAACCCGGCAGTTCTTATATGTGGTCAACCCGAAAATTTGGGTTGGTTCCAAAATCTCTCCTAACCCGACACAATCCAACCTGTGAACGTCCCATCTATGGAGCAATAGTGGGGATGCGAAAATTTGACATTTAGTAGAGGATATAATGCTGTAACCAATTGAACCATATTCAAGTCAATTTAAACCGAAAGATGACTTGAGTTAATATTCAAGCTACTTCAGTTTTTTATCCCTTGAAATTGGGCTACTACGCATAATACGTATGTGACACATCTATTTATAATGTACAAATAGATAGTAACTTATGATTTGAATTCAAGTTTGATTCCAAACTTTTAAGGGCTTTAATATAGGGGTAGTTGTAGAGCCAGAATATTTTGGCCCAATGACTGCAGATCTTGTACCCGAAAAAGAAATTGCAAAAATGGCAAACTTAAAACAAATTACATGATGTTCTAGCCACGTCATAACTTAGCTACTAATACTCTCAAGCTATGCCACATGACACGGCTATGACCTCACAATGACCCAACAATCTCAAACTTATCAAGAAATTAAGCTCTATCGTGATTCTGGTTATTTGGTTAAATCTTTCGAGCGTTTTAAGTTTTTAGCTAGTTGTTAGATCATTGACAATAAATTTTAACATCTAAAATTTTTCTTTGTTGATTTCTTTGGAAGGAAGAAGATATCAAACCCGTGTATTACATCACAAATACATTAATTCCTTCTTTCGATCACAAAAGATATGCAAAGAGTTGCAACACCTTTAATATAAGGAGTTGATCGTTCATATTTTTCTCTCAGATCAATTACTAGCCACATTTATTATATTTATTTTTGTTTGAAGTAAAATACAGTAAATCACTTTAAAAACAAGCTTGTGCCACCCCTCTTTGTTATAATCTTACATATTATATAATAGTGAGATTTTTAACAGAATTAAATCTAAAATCTCTCGAATATATATTTCTTTTATTAGGGCACACATATTAATTAAAGTCGCTTCTTTGGTACGAGGTTTTCATACATCTCATTATATCCAAACTCCATTAATTGCTTTAAATTAACTTGGTAACTACTCTTATGTGCACTACAATAATACAACATATTTGAGCACAAGGACACAATTTTTGAAATTTACATTAACAAATAACATATAAAAGCACAAATTAATATCATAAAATAAAAATTTCTTATAAAATATGGTAAATTGAACTTGTGCTCATTTACAACAACTAAGCCCTGGTGTTTGGAGCAGGGGTTTAACCTTTTAAACTTGAAGATTTAAGAAGTCTATATTTAAAAAACTAACTTAGAATCTACAAAATTGTGTGAGGGAGTAGTTTTTGAGGAAATTGGTCCTTTGGGGTATTGTTTAAATCTCGGGGGTTATATAAACAATTTTAGATTTGAGAAATCTATGAAGTAAATATGGGTTTGACATCTTAACTAAAATACATTGTCGGTGGTCAAAATCAAAATCGACACGTGTAATTTAGCACCTACTCAGTTCGGAGTCATCAGAAGGTAGAAAACGGGCCCTCCGTACCTGTCGACCTGATCTATGTCGAGCTGAGATGAACAAATCATATCAACCGACCTGAGGAATTCGACCTCAGGTCCGACCACCGACCTGGGGGCCCAACCGCCGTAACTGCAGGTCGGAACAACTCCAACGACTTTGTCTTCTCTGCCTACCCATAAAAGGGACACTCCGCTCCACGACTCAGGTATGCAATTTTGCTCCGAGATTGACCTATTGCGTCAGACTGTAATTTGCTTTCTTTTTGTAGGTCCTACCTTGCATGAGCTCACACCTCGTTAGCTCGGTCAGTTGCCACATGACCAACCTCGATAGCTCGACAGAATTTTGCATCAACACACACCATAACTCAAACTCTCATCGCAAGTCTTCACATGAATGCTAAAGGATATGATTGAAAGTTAAAATATATCTTGACGGCCCCGACCCATATTCATAATGCTATATTCTTAAAAAAGAAGAAAAAAGTTGATACAATCGCCAAAATCTATGTATGAAAGGTATAATTTAATCAAAACCAATCAAACTAAGTTTATTGAAGCATATTTATTTGTCGGTTTGTTTGGATGGATTTATAGGTATTAAAGTATAGAGTCGGGAGAATGAGTGAGTTATTTCTCATTAAAATTATGAAATACAATCTCCTTTTAAATAGAAAATGATAAAAGTCAGTAAAACAGAAAATACTGAACATAACAAACTCATTTAACATAAATACAACTAATTTCATATACTCTCCGGTACTCCCCCTCAAGATGGGACATAAATGTCAAGAAGACCCATCTAGCAAACCAAGGATGGCAAAACAGATGCAGAAAGCAGTTTGGTGAAAGCATCAGCAAGCTGAGAAGCAGAGCATTCGGGTAGAAGCCAAAGAAAACCAGATTGAACATGATCTCAATCAAAGTGACAGTCTAATTCAATATGTTTAGTACGTTCGTGAAAAATTGGATTTGAGGCGATGTGCATAGTTGCTTGATTATCACAGAACAACAAGGCAGGCGAAGAAAACAGTACTTGTAACTCAGAAAATAAATGAGAAAACCATATGATTTCACAAGTAGCAGCAGTCATTGCCTTGTATTCGGCTTCGGCAAATGATCGAGAGACAGTGTTTTGCTTCTTGGATTTCTAAGAAATCAGAGATGGACCCATGAAAATGCAAAAACTAGTGGTAGATCACCTTGTATCTGGGCAAGATCCCCAGTCAGCATCTAGGAAACCTCAGATCTGATAAGAAGTAGAGGCAAACAAAAAAATTCCTTTGCCTGGAGAAGCCTTAAAATATCGAAGCAAACGATGAGCAACCTTAAGATGATTAGTGCAAGGCTTAGAAACGTACTAGCTTAGTTTGTGCACAGCAAACGTGATATCTGGCCGTGAAATTGTAAGATACA